CTTTCTTTCTTTTCCTTCCTCCCTTCCTTACTTTCTTTATTCCTTCTTTTTCTTTCTTTTCCTCCCTTCCTTACTTTCCCTTCCTTACTTTCCCTTCCTTCCTTTTCTTCCTTCCCTATCTTTCTTTCTTTCTTTTCTTCCTTCCCTATCTTTCTCTTCCTTCCTTCCTTCCTTCCTTCCTTCCTTCCTTCCTTCCTTTTTTTTCCCTTTTATTTATTAATTTTTTTATGAGACCACCTCCCCTACAAGGTGACTCTGGTCAGCCTTAGGCACAAAGTCAGCTGGCTGACCTTGGGCCAGTCACATTCTCTCAGCCCTAGGGAGGAGGCAATGGCAAACCACTTTTGAAACACCTTCCCAAGTAAACTGCAGAGACTTATCCAGGCAGACTCTGAGAATTGGAAAAGGCTGAATAAGGAAAAAAAGGTGAGGGGTGGGGAGAACCTTAATTTCAGGTAGTACTAGGAACAATCATTCATATAAATGAATAACATCACCTGCCACCTGCCTGGCTTGGGGTCTGGTTGGCCCATCAGGAAGTCCTCCACCAGAGCCACCGCCTGGGAACACGTGTCTGGTCCTCCTGCCCGGATCCAGCTCTGGAGCTCTGGTGGGAGGCTGGCCAGGAACTGCTCCAAGATCAGCAGCTCCAGAATCTGCTCCTTGGTGCGTCTCTCCGGCCTCAACCATTGGCAACAAAGCTCCTGGAGTTGGCTGTGGATCCTCCGGGGGTCTCCCACCTCCTGGCAGCAGAACTGCCGAAAATGCTGTCGCTGCTTCTCCGTCCTCAGGGATTCCCTCCGCAAGATGGCCGCCTTGACCTTCCCATAATCCTCTTGGTCTCGGTCTTCCAGAGTCCGGAAGGCCTCTTCCACTCCTCCGCTCAGAGCTGGCCGGAGATGGGCCGCCCATTCTCCTCTTGCCCACCGGCAGGCGGTGGCCACCTGCTCGAAGGAGGCCAGGAAGGCCTTGGGGTCATCCCAGGGGGAAGCCTCCGACATCATCAAGGGGTTTTCTCCTCTTCCGGGATGGAGGGTCCTGAGGAATTCCTGCCACTGAGCCTCCCAGTGTTCTTCCGTCCCCCCCAAAGGCTCCACTTTGATGTTTTGCGACGCTCCGCATGTTGGCAGCCCCGTCATATGCAGAGGCTGAACCAGACGGATTGGCTTCCCTACTCCTTCCGCTCCTTCTTCTTTTTCTGCTCCTGCAAGATGTTGCTCTTTCATCGCTGTTTCTCCTGATTCTTTGCTCTGACGTTCTATAGAGAGAGTTTCCATAGTGGGTCAGTTTCAAACATTGCAACATTTAAGAGATTCCAGAAAAAAAGACCCTGGTTATTATCTAAGATCCATTCTCAACCTTTTCTCTGAAGAAAATGAGTAAACTCTTTTTTTTAAAAAGAAAAAAAGTTCTTCCCACCCAGAGATTCAGCCCTTAATTACAAGATTATTAGATAAGAATAAAAGAGAATATCGATCACTCACGGATCAGCTGTGGAGTCCTTGCTGCTCTCTGAGCTTAGTTGTTTGCTTGCAGACGTTTTATCACCCAACTACGCAACATCATCAGTGTGTAGGAGGGTAGGGTTTTCTCCCTATTTAAATGCAGTAACTTGCCCTGCTAGTTTTGTTGGTTTTTTTTTTTTGCTTAGTCATTCCCCGATTAAGGTATTATTTTCTGCTTGATCATTGCCTGGTGTAAAGTGGGTATTAACAC